ATCCGCCATGAAGTCGACTTCCATAATCAAAATCATGACGGGAGCAAGAATAGTTACGCAATTTAAAAGCATCAGAAGATAGAAGATGGTAATGCATTTTAATCGATGGTATGAATAGATGGTAATGCATTTGAAGTTAAAATTGCAAATCCGCCATGAAGTCGACTTCCATAATCAAAATCATGACAGGAGCAAGACTAGTTACGCAATTTAAAAGCATCAGATGATGTTAAATGCTTCCTGTAATGCAAGGCGTGCAGGTTGAAATTTTAAAATAATGTCTTTAACATCAGAGAACGGGCATTATTATGATGTTGATGGAGATGATTGAATAGTAACGTAATTAACATAGTTGAAGTCAGTCAAGTAGGCATTTATCATAAAAAGGATGCAAAGAGATTTCTAGGTCGAAATCCATTTTCTGCAGAAGCCGATTGATTGACATATTGAACGTACTTAGGATATTTTTTCTTTTGAAAATAGCTTAGTGTTTTTTTCTTTTGAAAATAGCTTAGTGTTTTTTTCTCGGGCACTGTTTCTAAAAAGGTAGTGCATTATCCGTCTTAGATGATTTACTGGGAGGAGGTGCAGTGGTTCTGCGGATGATGAAAAATCAAATTTAAGTTTTTAACGAGTAGATTGAAGCTTAGGTGAAGATATAGGAAGACCAGTTTGTGTACTGACAGCGCAAAATGAAGTTTTAGCAACTACAAGAGTAGGATACGCCTCTACGGGGAGTACGGGCGGTTACTATTCTATGGGCTGAATTTTGAATAAGATTTTGTAACACTTTGAATCTCCTCTTTGGACCATTTAGGATTGGAGAATGCTGCATGAATACTTTAGCAATTTAAGCAAAAAGGCTGCGACTCACAGGAAGCCTCAACATAACCAGCAACAGAACATCAAGCATATAGCCGAGCAGGATGCTTTCGAGTGGCCTAATTTTTGATACTGAAAGCAGCTTAATGGGTTTGGTAAGTAATACTGATTGGGCAATTATGCCAAGAAAGTTTAACAGAAGATAGTATCTTTGGTTAAACAAAAGTCAGTATGAGGTGTTTAGTAGGAATGAATTCATCATCCCTGTGTTCGATGCAACGAACGGATTACTTTTTGGTCATTCAATTCGGTGATTATTGTTTCTTCTGTGAATTCTGATGCGGAAATAACATATTTAGAAGAGTTAAGTGACGTATGGGGGTAGACTTTAACTTAAAATGAGCAAATGGTGGTGCAAGTCGATAATATAGAAAGATAAGTTGGCCCAGGGGGTCGCCGGTAAATATCCACTTTATAAACGTAAAAGGTTAAGATTCTAAGAGTGAAATAAGGTGTAATGATATCGTTTTTCTGTTACCTGTGATACCAGATATAAATAAAAATATCTTGCATTCTCTTTTTTGTGTAGTATTGCTCGCTTAAACAACAAATAGATATTTTCTTTACAAGAAAGTCAGAATAGCAGAAAGTTAAAATTTTTAAACTTTTTATAATCATAAAATTTTTGTATTTTTAATATTTGTATTTTAACCATGCCATAATAGCAGAATTCTATTAATATGCCAAATACCCCAGTCTTTACATCAAGCGTTTACTATACCAATTTCAAGTCATAATTAATTTGGAACAAAAATATGTAAAATATTTGTCAATTGAAAAGAAAAAATGCATTACATGGCTCCTTTCTCAACCTAACTTCTGGCTATAAGACTACAAAGACCGAAATTTTAAAACATTTTTTTTCAGCAGTTATTTAGCCAGAAATATTGTTGTTGTTGATGTTTTGTTTAAAACGGACCCATTGCAGATGTATTTGTAACACATACGATTTACCACTGAATGCAAACTGATAATTAATTACATTAAGAAATAACTAGTTCGTAGTAAAGATTATTGTAAGACTTAAATTAGAATAAACATTTATTTGTATATTTAACAAGACTCTAGAGAGTATTATAACAAATGAATTTCTGTTAGCGTTTCTGGAGAGCTATAATTGTAGCATATGCTTTTCAAAATTAATAAAATTTTATTGGTGTCATGCTGAAATATGCATAACATATTCCCCAACATTTAAAAACTAAATTATCATCTTATCTAATCCTTTCAATAAATAAAAATTATTAATGCAATCAGTAATCTTTTTATGCCACACCTTGATTGAGAACAGAATAAAATCTATTTGTAGAAATTCTCTCTACAACTGCCATGAAAATTCGAAAATCGCTATACAGTTGCTAAATGCTTTGATTTCATTAATATTCCTTACTGTTTCTTATACTTTCCTTTCCGCCAATATATTTGAATGCGCAAGACTAAGAAAAAGAGCCTTGGCTATAAATTAATAACCAATACAGGGATTTCTCAACTGTCTTAGGCGAAAACTATTCAAACGTAGACATGACACTTGCATTCTTTATTTCTTGGGGGTCGGAGATGTCCCGTGGAACTTAAACCCGCAGCCACACCCTCCAACACATGTTCAAAATTTATTATTTTTAACCATTCATATGTTAAGAATAGGGTATCTACCAGTAAAACAGGCCGGATTTCGTAATAACATGTCACAATTCAGTCAGTTAGTCAAGGCTGCTTTGGACGAGAGAAACATTCTGACATCCATCTATGCAAACTTTAAAGGGGCATTCCGTCTGGAGGGAAAAGCTCCACCCGAAGATCCTGAGTATGGGTATCACTTCAAACTTATTTAATTGGATCCGACGTTTTACAAGTCAGATAATCAGCAGGGTTCAATTTGGAGATTTCCTTTCAAAATCTACAAACTGGACTACCACAGAGAGCACTTGGTAGTTGTACTCTGTTAAATATCTATATCATTGATCTTTTCTCAGCTCTTAAATCAATACCTAGTATTAAATGTCTATTACTTACTGATGATCTGGTAATATGGACTCGAGTAACAAAACACTGTGCAGAAGACTTGATGGAAAATCGATTAAATAAAGCGCTACTTGCCCTCTTTGATTCGAGTGATGAAAATAATATGACTATCAATTCAGAAAATACAGCTTCCCAGTCCTTTTCTATTACTCACGAGGCTTTTCGTCCAGAGCTTCAGAACCAAAATAGTTTGATTGTCAATACAGATACATTCACATACTTGGTAGTGACTTTAGATAATAAGTTAAGTTGGAAACTCCATGTGGAGAGGCTCATAGAGGGGGTTACAAATAGATTTAATGTGCTCAAACGTTTGGAAGGTTGTAAATGGGTGTCAGCCCGGTGTACCCTTAACACTACAGATAATATATTTGCCCTTCCTTTAATGACGCACTGCTGTGAGGTCTTTATTACAACCCCATAATTGGTGTTTAATAAACTCGAAATTCTGTAAAACCAAGGCTCCCCGCTTGGTTACAACAGCTGTGAAGACCACGCCGATTGATCCAATGCTAATCCTGACAGGAAATAAACCTTCTAAGATATTATGAAGGAGAGGGCTTTGGCCCTCTATGAATTGCTTCGGAGAATCAATAATTCCTATAGGAGCGACTAGGCAACTTAAAACCCAGAATTGATTCATCCAGAAAGTTCTGGACATCAGAAAAGATATTGCTATTCCGGGACACCTGCAACCTCTTTTGAAACTCCTTGGAAATAACATAGCAAACAAAATTGGATCTAGCGGAAGCCATCCATTGTAAAAGAGATGTTGCACAAAGTATTGTAAAAAGTCTTGGGAGACCATTGGGGTTGGATACCCACTAATTTGCTGCACACTTTGACTGATGGATCTCAATTCGACTGCCATTTTAATGTAGGGTTGGTGTTTTCGGACTTCCTTTCATTCAACGCCCCAGCAGGCTACATTGGTACTGTCTTTGATGGTGAAGTGGTGGCGGTGAGTGTGGCCTTATTGCAGTACTGGCTCTCCAAAACAAACTTGGAAATACAGTCCTTTTTTCGGACTCACAAGCAGCTATTTGATTAATTAGCTTTGTTGCATTCCTATTGACACCTGATATGATGTCAAGAACTCCAGAGAGCTTTGAATTTGAAGGGAAAACGAATCGCTCTCCAATTTGTACTAGCCCATTGTGGTGTTTGGGGTAATGAACAGGCAGATTTGCTTACAAAAAGTTGCAAATTTGTTACATTAAAATACAGTAACTTCCTTTTGAAAATTAAACTGTTTGTGAAAAATCTATGTAAAACTAATTCATTGCGGGATCTTCGATCTAACACAACCCTAAAAAAGTTGCAGGAGGGTAAGCCTTTCTTTATTACCCGACAAACCTAAACATGATTAGTTGCGGCCTTCAGTTTATCTATGGGCTATGATTGTCTTTCTGCTCATTTACATAGTATACTCTTTTCCGCCACGCCTTTTTGTCCACTTTGTAATACTGGAGAAGAAATAGGCAAGGACCACTTGCTCCGATGTGGGGCCACAGAACGATGTGCATACGCAGAATTCTCAAGGTATTGGGATGCAAGAGAACTTTTAGTCTCTAGTGCAATGACTTCGGTCTTTCTTTGTCATCTCGTGTACATATTTATATTTTTGTATGTTTATCTTTTTTAGATAATTTTACTTTTTGCCTTGCCATTGGAAATAACTATTCATAGGTACATAAAAATGAAGAATTCTCTTTAATTTGGAGTTCCATATATTTCATAAATTAAATATTTTTATTGTATTTGATTTCTCATTAAGCAATTTATGATTTTTGATAAGTAATTGTTTGCCTATATCACTCTGGAATGGAATAATAAAAATTTGAAAATACATCAATCAACATCTAATAGTAAATTATCTATTATCTATCTAATTAGTATCTAATTTCTTCAACAAATGGAAATTCAAACACCATCAAATAATTTTATCACAATTGCTATGACAATATTTAATTAAATATTGTCATATAAGACCCATTTCAATTATGCTCAATACAATTTATTAGGTTAAGGTTGATTTTGAACTAAAACTTCTAAGAAATGGTGTAAATATTTTAAAAGAACCAATAATGCAAAGGTAAAATGAATAATTTTTAATCAAAAAGAAAATTTTACAATATATTTAGCATTTTTATTATTTAAAATAAATGCATAGCTATGAAAGGCAACTAATATATAGTTGATAATAGGCGATGAGATGCTGATGATAAGGTACAAGGGGAATCTGAAAGGACCAACAATAATGCAAAATATTAGTCATATTAGAATTCATTATGAATTTGACACACACACAATAAAAGAAAAATATATATTATTACTAATAGAATAATTATAATTTATTGATTTTGATTACATTAAAATTTTAAATTAATATGCAATATTAGATATTTTTATTTTAATCAAAAATTATTATTGTTTATGATATTATTCAACATTGTGTAGCAGACCCGTTTATCTGTAATTCTTGGGAATTAAGGATCATTATACTAGCTCTCTCTTAATAACTAACAATTATTGTTTTTTTATGCTATTAACTAAGGTTATTCTATTAATTATTGTACTAAAGCATGGAATTCAAGGTAATTCTTAGTAGTGGATTTCCTATTTTTTATGTTGGGTTGTTCCGAAAGTAATTTAGTTTTTTTCTAACGGAGAACTTAATTATACACTGGTGAAATAAATTAAGAGAATTTGCATATTTTATCAAACTTCATGAAAAGAACTGAACTGAATGTAAAACCACTGCTTCTAGACAAAAATACAAATCTTGTACATCAAATACGTAAGTGTACATGCGTGTGTAGATGGGAGCCAGTTCAGAAACAGGTTTTATAAGAGCACTTAAGTTAAGAGGCATTTCGTTTGCTAACACACCTGGGCGAATTTCTTGGTGTTATTTTGTAGTAATAGGTAAAATTCAAATTGTAACAGTAAAAATAAGTAACCACCAACGTTGAGATGATGGAATGAGGTGGCGAATGAGGTGGTGGGAAGCAGGCCAATTTCAGGTCCAGATTTGTAGAGAGTTCAATTTAACGCCCAGCGTTGTGTGTAACTTATGGAAACAGTTCCAGGATACCGGATCCATGGAGAAAAAACCTGGGCAAGGTCGTCCAAGAGCCACGACGGTCAGTGAAGATCGCCATTTGTCCATTATAGCGAGGCGTAACAGAGGGACTACAGCTTCTCAGCTCTCTCGTGACTTGTATGCAGTCTCAGGAACCCAAGTATCAAGGGTGACTGTTTCCAAACGACTTCATGAGAGAGGGCTGTTTGCGCCCAGCTCATTTCTACGAACAGGAGAGTCCGTTCAGCATGGTGCCGAGAGCATAAAGATGGGAGTATGGATCAATGGGTGACCGTTCTCTTCACAGATGAGTACATGTCCAGCCTAAACACTGATTCTCGCCGTACGTTTATATGCAGAGAACCGGAGACCTGCTACCTATCCTCCATTGTCCTCAAAATCAACCATTATGGCGGAGCATGTTTTGGTCTGAAAACGTATCATGTTGGATGGTCGCACACCTCTATCTTTGAAAGATGCTCTGTGACTGGTGTGTGGTATAGGGATGAGGTTTTGGAGCCCTATGCTTGCTTTTTCAGGGGTGCAGCTGGCTCTGAGTTCGTTTTAATGGACGATAAAGCGAGGGCACATAGAGCTTTTATGGCCAACGAATTTCTAGACCACAACCCTATAGAGATTGTCTGGGATGCATTGCAACTCGCTACCCCCTCCGAAAACCACGAGGGAATGAAAACAGCGTTGCTGAGTGAGTGGGAACAATTGCCACAAGAAATGATAAACTGTCTAGTTTCAAGTATAAAATTACTCTGCGAGGCCTGTATATCTGTAAGAGGGGACCATATTAATCCACTTTTTTTGTTTATTCTGCAACTGCTGTTTCATTCTTTCTGACTCCAACGAGTGTTACGCATGATCATGCGTGTGTATTACATTTGTTGAATGGTTATTTGTTTTGTATTGTATCAATGCATGTGTATATCAAATTTCATTAAAATCGGTCCAGTAGTTCTAGAGATAATAGATCAAGTCTGCAAATTCTCTTAATTTCTTACACCAGTGTATTTTGGCAGCTGATATAGCAAGGCTTGATTGTTAAAAAGTTTCTTTTGATTTTATGCAGTAGTTTTTGGTTGGTCCCGGGACATTGCGGGATTTGGGGTAATGAAAAAGCTGATTTCTTGGCCAAGAAAGGAACAACTATTGCCCAAGCATCTCGTTGCTCCATCTCTCTGCACTCATTTAAATTGCTGGTCCGAAACCAATTCCGGAACATGCTCTCAGAGAATTTCCGTACAAGCAATATACACAAAACCTGGTTCAACCATATTTTAACTATCCCAAATCAGCCCAGGTTTACGGCAGTCGCTTTCTTTAGACTTGTAACGGGCCATGACTGTCTGGCCAAACACCTTTTTAGCATAAACATTTTTGACTCTCCTAAATGCAAGCTCTGTCGCCTTGGGGAGGACATGGACTTGCCCCATATTTCCGTCTGTCCTGCGCTCATCTCCACTACTGTGTGTGGACGCTACTGGGAAGCTAGGGCCCGTATGGGCTAAGCATGTCACTATGCATTCAATTCTATTGATCTCTTTTTGCCTTGTTTTTCTTGTTATTTTATCCTTTTTGTTCTTTTAAATTGGCCTGCCATTGGAAATAAAAAAAAAATAAAAAAAAGTTTTTGGTTGGTTTGGTTGATATGGAGAGGGAAAAGAGGAATTTTCGGCATACTTTACTGTTTGCTATATTTTACTGTTCGGCATATGTTACTGTTAAAAAGCTGTGCAAGCAAGAAATAAATTATTTGATGTGTATATGGAAAAGATGCATTATATTGGCAGTATGCCAGTGTCAAAACTGGTTTCGCAAAATTTCGATTAAGATGCACAATGTCAGTTTAAGCAGATGCAATAAAGTCATTAATCGATTCAAATCAGCAAATAATGACACATGAGATCGTTGAGACATTAAATTTATTAAATTCGACTGCTCACGATCCTTTGAAAAAACTAAAGTTAAATCTTAAAGCTCAACAAATGGATTCTTCATGTTCTTACAAAAAGAAATTTGTTTCACTGCGTGTGATTTGCTTTTCAATTGTCAAGAAAATTATCCATTTTTGGAGCACATCATTACTGGAGACGACTACAATGTTGTAGTCTCCCCAAAATTGGTTAGATGGTAAAACCTTTTCTTGAAATAAGGAAGTCAAAAATCACCCGGATCAGTTTTTTGTCAGCAAAAAATAGCACATTTTATGAACATGGAATAATGTTACTGCCAGGAAGATGGCAAAAAGTATTGAGCCAGAATGGACAATATATGATTCAGTAAAATTTTTATTCACTATAATAAAATCGCCTTTCATTTTCATAATTTCTTTTTCTTTCCGAACTAACCGATAAAATAAACACAACAATGCATACTTAAGAATGAAACAGTCAATCAATAATGGTAATCAAATCAAGGTAAAAATGAAAAACAGGATTAAAAAACAGTGGTGCTTTAAATTAATTCATTTTTAATGTGATTAAAACATCTTTCAATAACAATATGCGTGATTGACACATTTCTGACGATATAAGGTTAACCTAAGGTTAAGTGAGTTAAACAAAATTTATCTGCTTGTGAAACTATGATGTGCAAATCAATACTTGATACTTAGAAAATATTCATTTAATCATAGTTAAGAAGAAAGACCTTTTATACCATGCGTGGTGGCAGTTACGAGCCTTATTCACATTCAGATGGATGGGTACAGGTTAAGTAAAATCAGCCAGTCTGCAAAACTGACTACATTGCTACCACCATGCCATTGATAGCTTGAAATTAACCTCCATCTTAGCCAACAATTGGCTGTAGTGGGAAAGTTTTATATTTTTTATACTACAGAAAAAAAAATGTGTTGTAAAGTACGGAAGCAGTAATTTTTAAAAATTATGATGAGAAAAAATCAAGTAATTTAATTTAATTTTCATAATTTAACTTTTTCACTTAAATCTATTATAAAGTGATGCAGAGAGGAATAATAAGAAATATAAAAGTCTAATAACAATGAATCTGTCTATGGTAAAATAGAAAAGAAATACAATAGATTACTTTATTAGAATGATAATAAAAAAGAGCTGTACACAATGAGTAAGAAATTAATATTACATACAATTAAATTAGTATAAATTAATGGATATAATTACTATGAATAATTAATTACTATGCATAAATTAATTAATTACTATGAATGGCAAAAAGGCAATTATAATTTTGTATGGTACTTTAAATAAGAGATTGAGAAGTGATAACAAATAGATTAATTAATAAAAAATACCAATAGATTAAATATGATCTGATTTATGAATTTGTGTTTATTCAGGAAATCACGATTAAAAATTATCATTAAATTATGGAGTAATCATTAAATTATAGTGTAATTATAGATCATTAAATAATAGTAGTTTTGATTAATATTTAAAAATCATGCATGTGACTTAAGTAATTTATTTATAATATTTTAAATATTTTGAAACAGAGTTTCTTTAAACTTAAGGCTTTCTAAGCATAAACTTAAAAAAAAAAAAAATTCTTCTTTTCTTAAAATTTATAAAACGTTAAAGTCCTTAAATAGTATTTAAAGGGATTTTTTATTACTGATAAGATTGTTAAAGAAAAAAATTTCTTTTTCAAAGTGTAAAGAATTAGTTGTAATAACATAGTATACATACTAAATAAAAAGTTTATTTAGCTTTTACTAATAAATACAGAAAAATACTCAGCATCAGCTGCCAAAATAACCTATTTTTGGTCAATAATAAAAAATTTAACTACAATTTGGTCAATAACCAAAAATATTACATCATAACACATTCATATTACATTCCACTCTTTGCCTTTAACGTTTCTGTCACAATATAAAAAGTTATTTACATAAAGTATATTTCGACTGGATGCTGTAAAAGTATTTTTTTTTACTCGCGCAATTTTACTAGAAGAGCATAGTGATAGAAATTCAATTCCACATATGCACTGTAGCATGCAATATAAGCAAAACTATCATAAAGGAGATGAAAACAGTTATGACACATCCTATAGGATAGTGAAAAAAAAAAAGAAAAACTCGCACACTGGCAAAATTAAATCAAACCTTTAGGATGTACCCAGTACGTGGCCAGATTTTCATTACCCGGACCCAGGAGAAAAAT